AAAGCGAAAAGGAAAATTCATTGTTTTTCCATGTGATTCCATTCCCTATGCACATGTGAATGCTTGATAAATACTATCTAAAACATCTTGTTTTTTTTAAAGCCAGGGAACAAAGAGCACTACTTGGACATAAGCAGATGCTGGTCAGCACTGTTGCCAGATAGTAAGCTCATTTACTACTGCATTTTATGCCCTCCCATTCTTGCCAAGATGGTGAAGAGGATGGTACATGTGTGACTCAGAGGGAGCAGGTTGAGGCAGACAAGAGAGGAAGTACGTCTACAAACAGAAGCTGGAATTTTGCACCACTGAGATTAAAAGGGTTCAACAGGTGTGTGACAGCAGAATTATTCTTGCTCTCTAACTCAATGCTTTTTTTGAGGATGCAATACTAATGCAATTAACTAGCCCGTGCACCAGACAATGAAATTGATACCACTGAACACTGGGAACTAACTGTCTGCAATGTTAAAGCAGTTGCTGCCACCCACCCCGCATATGTATATAAAACACTTTACTGACTTACTTCAGCATAAGATAATGAAAGAAGCAAAATGAGCACTGTAGGCCTTACTCATTACAATCTGCCCTTTTTGTCTGGCTGGAAACCCACAAGCATTTCTCATAAGCAGATCCGCCTTCTCATTATTTCCAAGACGATAAAGTTCATTCAGAATGTGTTTTAAAGCATCTTGACTAAGCCAAAAAAATCAGAAGTTGAGGGTGACTTTCTTACCTTTTCCATGCAGTTAAGACTGATTTTCCCCCAAATCAGACAGAAGTTCCACTGAAGAACACAGCTCGGCAGTGCAACATTTTCTCTCCAAGAATAACTAATACACTATGGTTTCTACATATGATTGTATGCAGAGCTGTTATGCTCTCCTCACAAGACCCCAGGTGAGTATTAACACCATAAATGTGAACTACTGCTTATTCCCCAGATGTTCCACAAGACACCTCAGTAGAAGCTAGAAGCGAACTTATGCATCCCGTGGCTATTTAAATAAAGATGACACAGCGCCAACATGTCTTACACAGCGACTATTCCTATATCCATTAACTATAGAAACATAGTGCATACTGTGCTCTATTCCTAACCTGTACCGTGGTTCTGAGTGAGCTTCAGAATTCAGAAGTCTGAAAGTGGTAGAAGTGTAAAGATCCCTTTTGCAGCTGAAATGACTAAGACAAAATCTTTCAACCTTTCTGTGCCTTAGTTTCCACATGTATCTGGCAAATCCTTGCTTTGGTAAGCAGTTCCATTGCTGCCGGTTGAAAGGCACTAAGTACTCTTACTCATCTGACTGTTCCAGGCAGAAAAGCTTTGGAAGGGCATTTACCACAGAAAGAAAGCATTGCGTGTTCATCTGGATCCAGCAAACCAAAGTCTGTTGAAGAGCTAAGAATCTAGAGGAATCAAAATCTCATTTTTGGTTTAAGAAACATTAACTTCAGAACAGATTAAATGTCGTATAACTGAAAGTAGAAAATGAGTCCACCACTAGTGGTGAATTTCACAGTTCTTCTGAACACTTTAAATAGTACACTGTAAGGATTCAGTAGTCTTAATAGACTTCGCTTCAGCCAAAATTGTTGTTACAAATGTATCGTACCTAGGAAATTAGAGAAAGCATAACCTCAATCATTCTGTGCCTACAATTTAGTTTAAAGTGATAGAAACAGTGTCTTCCTTCTCACAGGCACATTACTGACTGCTAGATTATACTGTCTGCACAATGAATTTAACTAATCAGCATTACAGTATTCAGGCTATGGCTTAACTGTGATAAACAGTCCCCAAATCCTATTCAGTTTGGTGTATCACTCATTCTTTGCAGTACACATTACTATTTAGTCATCATTTTGTTTTTGAAGTGTGTTTTCAAAGTGTCAGCAAACTTAGATAACTGAACAAGTTTTTTTCTGAGTTATATAGTAGGTCATTAATTGGTTTTAACTTGATCTGCAAATATTTTGTCTGCCTATTTCCTGACTGCAGACATGGACATCTCTGGCACGAGATACTCCTATTATAGCCCCTCCCTTATCTAGAGATGCGCATTGCAGTCCATACAGATTTTCCTACCTGGTACTAAGATTTCTCCCACCAACTGAACTAAGCTGCAGTACACAAGTTGTACAGTTCAGCAGTATGTGCCATACAAAGTTTGAGGCTTGTTGTGTCTAAGCCAGAGAAAAATAATCACCACTTGTGCAAGAGTTACATTAAGTCTTAAATGTCTCCATCTGCGATCTGTCCAGACCACAAAGATGCTGTCATCAAACAGGTGAGATGCCATTTTGACCTCTCCTCTAAACATCTCCTGAATGCCTTCCCAAACTCAACAACTCCTCCAAGATAGAATCCCTTCTGCTAAGACCCTCTTTCCCAGCCAGGCCTTTTCTAAACAGAAAAGCATAAACACTCTCACCCAGAACTCATTTCCAGTGACACCACTGCCTGCAGCTTCAAATATCCTCAGGTATATTTCTGCATGTTGAGCTATTTCAAAGGTCTAGTTCCAGCACCCTTCGTGTCTTTACCATCCCTAGGTCTCTCTCAGCTAAATTGTATTGCTTTTTTATTCTTATTAATGCTTCTCCAGATTGTACATGTCTGCTTATCTCTGCTGCCACTCTTTAGGGAAAAACTTTGTAAACAGAAATCAGTAATTGCTTGTTTAGTTGGGATAGGACAGTATCTGAGAAGTTTTCAAATGGTCAACTTCATGCAAGAAAGTTCAGGCTTTAAAATGTTTCTGAAGCCAAAGTGATAGTTCTTGAAACAGGAAAAAGAGCCTGCTTTGAGAAAGCAACTTAGTGTATCTTATCTACCACTTCTCAAGCTGTCCCATTAACAATGCATTTCCTTGCTTGGATAGCGCTCCTCCAGTCGCATGACCAATTACCGCTCCCACTGAAGTCCATGGCAGCATTCCAACGGAACATAAGCTAGTGCCCCGAGGACAGAATTTGTGTCTCTCCATTGTTTATTTTGTTATCTCCCTGCCAAATACAAGTGAATGCCAGGTTACCTTTCAGCTAATAAAGAAACCCTAGGGATTCCAGGCATGCCTCTAATTCAGCCTGGTTTTAGTGTACTATGCATATCGGATCTGGAAAACAATTGGTCTTAAGAAGACTGGAAGAACACAGTTGTTTTTTTTCCTCAAATATCAGCTAACCCATGGACACCACTGCACGGTTGCAACACACAAAACTTACTTCTTTAAGCTCATTAGATGCATGTGGATCAAAAACACGTCTTCCAGCCTTTAAAACTGCCAAACAAATTTGTCATTCCTTATCTACTTGTGCACATCAGTTTCTACTGTGAGCCACATCTTAAGAAGCCTGGTATTGACCTATTATCCACGTTTAGGAACAACTCTTCTTTTATCAAATGCAGGAGAAGGCGTTACGTGACTTTCCTACTTGTAAAACTGAGGAATCATGGATTTTAGTTAAAGCCTAGAAACTATTTGCTGTGCACAGCCACAAAGGGACCCGTGGTGCCTTTTCAAACAGTCAATCTAACACCATCCAAGTTTCTCATACTCTTCCATTAGCACTGTCTGGAGTATAATTCTCAGTGCCGTTTCCTTCCGATATAAAGGAGATTACATTTCACAACTGATTTATGAACTGATTCATCAAACATTATATTTTATACTTATATCTATATATATTATAGTAACATTACCTAATTGTGGAAGCTACTACGCTACTATACGATTTGTTAAACCACCCCTGAATTTTGACTAGAAAAAACTCTTAATCCATTTACTAAAAGTGAGCTTGCTCCTCCTTTGATCTTCTGTTTCAGTATTTCTTACTGAGTTACATTAACATTAATATTGAATGAACTGGGGCAAGCCCAGTTATTTCAAGTCACTGTGGTATGTTTTGGTTTTGATGCAGAAATAACTTGACTTTAGTTCTAGTACTTATACACTGAGGAGCCTTGAAGAGTGAACAACGCTACAGAAATTCTAATTTATGGAACTGCCACTGTAAAGACAGACTAAAAAAACAGTGCACACCATTTCTCTCCCCCCCCCATTACCTTTCATTATACAGTGTTTCCTTCAAATTAGAGTACTTTTCAGTGGATAGTAGTAGGTAGCTATGCATTAATCAGTAAACTCTCCTGACTAATCCTGTTCATTCTGTCTGTCTAGTAAGAGGATTCCAGCAGCAAACATGCATGCCGTTTTCTAAGAATAAAGAAAGCCAAGAAAGGCAACCCCAGAGATCATCACAAAAATTAGAAGTGACAGATTGGTGTCACATAGGAGAAAGTATGGTAGTAATTGCCACCATGCTTTTCTCTGTATTAAGATTGAAAAATGAGTAGTTATAGTGGAATATCCATATTCTACATTAAATCACTGTAAGGGTTGAGGGTAAATAGTATGACACAATATAATATCATTTCTGATGTGACAGAATTCTCATTTCCGGTTCACTGCATAGTGAAGATTTAAATATTTACTCTTTAATCCAATATAAACATTACCTTCATATTGTAAGCACAACACACTTATACAAGAACAGCAACAAACATGACTGTTTAGTACTTTCACTACCTCTCCTGAGATAACATACCATTTCTTTCCTGCATCAAGCTCTTTTTACACCTCAAACATACATTTAGGAGTGAAGCTCCTATTTTAGTTAACATTGCCAGTCCTACAGTTTAAGGAGGCAAGCTTTCTTAAATTATGGAAGAATAGAATCTGGCCCGAAGTTTTCTTTCAAGAAATTAAACATTGTTCAGAACTCACAAATAGCCTGAAAATAGTGGGAACAGACTTTCAGAAGTCTCGGTCCTTTTAAGACAGAAGAATGAAGACCTATTAAATGCCAACTAACTTAACTTTTACGTAATTGTCAAATGTGCATGGAATCTCTTAATTACGTGGACAACAACAACAAACGGTTGCTCATTATTCAGAAGCTTCAGACATTATTTCAATAATAACTAACACAAGGTGAACTGGTACATACCTTTGTTCTTTAATTTACTTCAGGAACAATTTCCCATCAGTGCCTATAGGTATTGGATAGAACTGACTTCCATGGTAAACTGGCAGTTTTAAACTCCCCAAAGTTCAGCTTCCAACCGTCATGAAGAGTGAAGTTTTCAACACATGCAATTCTCAGGAACACTACACACCACCAACTTCTCTGCTCCTGCTAAGGATGAAGTTCTGTTCAGACATAGGGGAGGAGGTTCAAAGAATACTTTCAAGAACTCTGCCCCTAACAGACCTGTAGTTGCTTATATAACCCATAGGGCCATTACATCCAAGCACTTCATAAATTCTCTAAATTATGTACAGAAGATCATCTCTCCTGCCTCTGAACCATACTTAGAAGTACTAACTACTTAGAAGTATTAATTACTGCAAAATCATGCATGTGCACATATACCCACTACAGTCTTTGTAATCCAGAATCTGTTTGTACTCTAAAATACCCTCTCCATGAGATTTAGGACAACACAGGAACATACCATGTAAACAAAAGAGCGAATTCAAAGACCTGATGCATAACTTACATTCAGAAACTAATGTGAAATTTGTTCAGTTCTAACCAGGCTTTAAGAAAACTATTTCCACGTAAAATGGACCTGGACTATATATCGCTTGTTCATTCTGTGTTGTATTGAAATAAATAATTCTAAATAAAAAATAAAGAATATCTACAGTTATACCTGACTGATATTAGTATGAAGTAGAAAAAGGAAGAAGGTGTCAACTTAGTTTCCGTGTCTAGTTAGCTAACTGTTCTTCCCTTTCTGTCTTACCGTCGGAATTCATTGGCTCCTCAAAATCACTGGGGTTTTCATTACATTTAGATATACTGCTCTGACGTTCTGCGTATGTTTTGTTTCCACAAGCTGGATATTTTGGACTCACGATACTTTAACAGAATCTGAGGATTAAATAAATAAGATTACCGCATGCACCTATACATACAATAAATGACATTTCATTAGGTGCAGTAACACAGCAACATGTGACGTACAGCATGGAAAAATGCTTCCCAGCAACCAAATCCTACAAATGGTCAAACGCTACCTAAACATGAAGGTGCTCAGACTTGGAATTCTTCAGACAAGCTGCTTTTCCAACTTCAGAGCCTCTAAATTCACCAGCACATATGCCAGCCTTGCTATCCTCCCCAGTAAACCAAGAGACCTAAGTTACCACTAAGCGTTGCTGTGCCACAGGTTCACTGTCAAGCCTTCCTGACCTGCTCACACTGCAGGACTGCATCCTGCCTCAATCTGAAAGACCTTTCAGATGGAGAACAGAAGTTACTTTGAACAGCCTTCAAATATCTCTTGGAAAAATTCACCCAAGATGTAAAAAACAGACTGGTGTCTGTTCTTTTATAACAGCCTTTTCAGGATATCAAAAATGACACACTCAGTCCTGTACACTACTTCTTTTCAACGTGTTTGACAACACCGTCTTATGTGAACTACCTAGAAGCTTCAGTCTATTATTTCTTGCAGTCAGCACAAGCCTCCATTTTGTGTGCAACATATTTTCACAGAAGTACATGATTTGCTTGTTGCCAATGACCACCTGGACAGACGTCCTACATGGTTGTGTTTACCCACAAGTAAGGCAGGTGCCACTTTGTGCAAATGGAACATTTCCCTCGTTGTTGAGTTAAACAAGTTAGTTCAAGCTGACTACGTGCCTAGACAAATACAGGATCCTAACTGTACTGCAAGGGTTTGCATGAATAAAACATAGTTATCTGTCATCAGTTAGGAACAGAGATGATGCCTTCAAGCTTGATTTCAACGCAACAACAAACAACTAAAATCTTAGGTAAAGGACTTTCTTTGAAGCCATGCATCAGGATGCCAGTGGCATTCCAATTCAAGTATTAGCCCCCACCTTGGTAACAGGCTAAGCCCCGAGTTCAAATGGACATGCTCAAGCCCCACGTTGTATGTTGCTACTCATCACCATTTTGGTCCTTTGCCTTCAGCTAGGAGGAGGAGGTGTATGGGTGCGTGCATTTTAATTTTAAATAACAGCAAAAATGCTCAAAGCTAAGCTCACTAAAACATTGACATGTATTTTTTGCCTGTTGTCATATTACTAAACAAGAGAAAAACGGATGTTGAAAACAGCAGTCTTGCCAACTCACAGAGGAAGGTTACAGATGTATTCCAGAATCAACCGTCTTTTCATCTGAGAGACTCAAATCCAGCATGTAAGCAGAGGCTTAGTGTTACTACACACAAAACCTGTTGTGCCACTAAGACTCAACAGAAGATCTAGCCTCCAGCATACAGGCCACAGATCATAGAAATCATAGAATCATAGAATATCCCAAGTTGGAAGGAACCCATAAGGATCATTGAGTCCAACTCCCGGCACCATGCAGGTCTACCCAAAATTTTAGACCATGTGACCAAGTGCACAGTCCAAATGCTTCTTAAATTCCGACAGGCTTGGTGCAGTGACTAATTCCCTGGGGAGCCTGTTCCAGCGTGCGACCACCCTCTCAGTGAAGAACCTCTTCCTGATGTCTAGCTTAAACCTCCCCTGCCACAGCTTGACATCATTCCCTCGGGTCCTATCACTGGTGACTAAGGAGAATAGGTCAGTGCCTGCCCCTCTCCTCTCTCTCGTGAGGAAGCTGTAGACCACGATGAAGTCTCCCCACAGCCTCCTCTTTTCCAGGCTGACCAGGCCAAGTGACCTCAGCCATTCCTCATATGTTTTCCCCTCTAGTCCCTTCACCACCTTCGTGGCCCTCCTCTGGGCACTCTCCAACAGTTTTACATCCTTTCTGTACTGTGGTGCCCAGAACTGCAGAGATCACAGAAATTGTATTTACTTAAATACCGTAATATTAGTAGTAACTTCTGACTTCCTTTTTGAAAAAGGCACTCAAAGTCTTCAGTAAAGTGCCTATTATCACTTTAAATATTTTTTTTGTTTTTCTATGTGAAACATATACATAAATTTTTCACCATTTAACTTTCTGAAGGTTTATAACCAGCAGACTGTATTCCCCCAAAAGTTAGCCTTTTTTTTAATGGCTGGATACCCATTCCCAAGCCTCGCGTTTCTAGTGGAGTCAGGGTGCAGTTACTGAGCCATTGTTATCACGCAGCTCTACCCATGCGAACACATCAGAACAACAATTCCATCTTTGTCTCTTCTTCCTGTCTATCTAGCGTCCTATTTATTTTCCGCCTTCCTCTGTCATTGTTTCTCACAACATGACCAAAACAATTTGGCTGGAAAAGCCTTTGGGGGTGTATTTTATGCCAGGTAGCTTCAAGGAAAATGTGAACTGTGTTTGACAGGATACAGTTCTCAGAGAGGATGCAACCTCTACTGAGCTACTACTACACTTGAACTTTGCCATTTACCATTTGAGTGGAACAAGGGTTATTCACAATGAATTTAACAAAAGATGCTTCTGTATAATTACAGAAGTCAAATGCAGTATGAACTAGAACAATTTACAAGTAACTTCTGCAAATTCTAGAAAGGAGTCTTTACTGCTTTATACACAAAGGACCAGTGAAAATAAATCTAGTAGTCATTAGAAATATACTTTCTAACGCACATTTTGCTCTGCACATATACGAGGGTACAATGCTTACGTTACAAAATGTCCTTTTCCGAATTAAAAAACAAAAATTGCATGTTTGAGGACGTTGTCTAAACTGACACTATCCACCCTTCGAAGAGGTGCAGAACAGCCAGCAGAAATCTAGTTTTAGGTGCCCTTTGCAAGGGTACTTTCGAGGACAGAGCCACAGAGAAGAGCAGGGGGCTGGGCCCCTGCTCAGCTATCACCAAAGGCCAGGTAAGTAGTGAGTGAGCTTCGGGTCCCGTATACTTCTCACAGGGACTTACAGTTTGAGCTGCCATCGCTGCACGTTCACACCTGGTGCCAGATCACACAGGATCCTGCTTGGGTATACTGAAGATTTTATCAAAGTCCTCCTACGTGGACTAATCCTGACACAGAAGTACTTTCAAATTGAAGGTGTAAGTCAGTTCCAGCACTAACAGACTCCTTGATAACTGTGAAAAAAATACTAAATGAGTTAGACCCCAATATTGCAGAGATGTATCCAGTATTTATTGCAAGCACATGATTCAATTTTCTCAAGACCATTTATGTACTTGGTATGACTTCTGGGGGTGTACTCTGTTGTACCCAATTCAACTCACTGGATGAGCAAATACTCATCCAGTAAGGACAGTAACTGAAATCCTCAGTTAATTTTGATAATACCATACAGCAAAAAGAATGGAATATCCTTTTTCATCAGTAGAGATTTAGGCTTTAGGCAGACAAGGAAAAGACGTTGAGAGGCAATGCGTTTCATCATCTTATTCTAAGAAGTACCTGCATCACCTTAGAGTATGTTAAACCACAGGCAGTTTATTTTTGTTTGAAGCAATGCACATTTATTTTAAATTATCACAAGTAATATTCTAATATCTCTGTATTATAGATCATACCTCTCTAAGAGTTCCAGTTCTGTATTATTGATTTCTGGAGAGGTTATGAACTGTAGAACATAGTGATTATTTATTTATCCTTTACAGTGTAAAGATTAGGCTTCATATGGTTGTAATAACAAGTATCACTGTACAGAAATAATCAATGATACTTTTAGCGACTTATATAGATTTCAAGATGCAATAAATTAGATATTGACACTTTAGATATTAAGCATTGACAATCATGTTGTGAAATACCTAATACAGCAACTAAGAATTCTTACTTTGTGTGAACAGCAATCATCTATTTCAAGTACAGAAAGCATCCAAGTGCTTGTGACATTTTATGGACGCACAGAAAATATCATGCAGCAGAAACACCAGTTTTGTGCTTAGCGATGTTTTCTTCTATTAGTATCTAGTGCTAAATCCTGAGAAGTCAAGCTTGGAAATCTCCTTTTCGTTAGAAAAATTCGTTCTGTCTATACGAGAACTTGGGCTTCCAACTTTAGTCAGCCAGGATTTCCTGCAAGAAAAATAAGAGAGGGTTAGCATGCAAACAACTGTACATGTAGTGTTTACTCTCCTATCATGCTTCCCCTTTTAAGAGCCATAAGTACAGTCTTTTAATAAGAAAACTATGCCAAATGTTTAGTTACCTTGTTTCCCCTCCCAGTCTCCTTTAATTTAAGTTCATTTTGCATTTAAGTGTCAACATTTCAAAACATATTATAGAACAGTAAATAAGTCTGTTGTAGCCTTTTTCTGTCTGGTAAATTTTTTATGTAATGACCCCTTTTAAGCCCGAATTAATAGCTTTAAAATGGGTGTATCAGCTTTGCAGATTGAATATTATACTTGCAGCAAGGACCTCAAAGCCGTCCATAATTTAAAAAGTACCAAGAAAAAAAACTCAAGCAGCCAGTTTACCCTGTTCTGACAAAAACAAGAAACAAGTTGAAATAAAAATGACACTATCAAACCCAGCAAAAGGATAAAGCAAACAAACTAAAATTACAGAACAAAAAGCAGTATTAAATTATAAGATATCAAAGAAATAAGAAACATGGGGAGGAAACACCTGTACAAAATTCAGTGAGTTTTACATGCATTTGCATTATGATCCAATCAAATTCATTTGGCTCTTGCTTTTTTCTTCCACAGCACACTAAAAAACTGTATTGAACACAAATTCCAGGGATGTAACAGTCCAGAAGCTGACAGTATGATGGCTCCTCCTAACTACATACCAGCCATCTTCCTGTGCTGCAGCAATTTGAACTTCGGCACATTAGTAATAAGCCACTGGTGATAACAGGAGGTGCACTAACACTTGATTTGCAGACATCTGCTTCTTTACAGGCTTCTTTATCAAAATGCACTTTAAGGATTTTTTTGTGGTATTGAAAACTAAGAAGAAAGAATACTCTACCCTATAACACTTCAGTGTATTTCCACACAATACTTTTTATAACTTCAGTGATACATAAATTGTAGGCATGTAACTGCAATTAAAATATTACTATTATTCATTTAAATTCTCATTTGAAGAGCATTGAAGTTGTTTTAAAGTTAATTCATCCCTTGCAAAATCACACAGAAGATTATAAAACGCAGCCATCTTGCACCTAAGCGTCTTTATTAGAACTGTGCACTCAAGCTGCTTGTCTTAAGGCAATAAATAAAAATAGGGAAATCAAAACATACCTTGTTCAAGACCCTGTATTTGACAAGAATTTTTTTTGTTGCATTATCAAAAATTGTTTAAAAGACATGAGATATCTTAGCTGACTACAAGCAACAAGTGGTTTATTATTCTTAGAACTAGCACGGATGGCACCAAGCCTATACTGAGCATCTACACAACTAATCTCATTCTTTAAACTCTCTGCACAGGTTCTTGATTATGAAGAAATACACACTCTTAACACTTAATGCAGGTATTTGTTAGCCTTCACATACCTTGAAACATAACCCTAGCAGTAAGCATGAAGGATTACAGCCTTGCAGAGACAAAAAGCTCTTTTAAGCCTACTTCCCATTAGACCACTAAAAAGGAGGCTCTATATGTAAAGACTCCCTGGAAGACACAACCCACAGATTGACTTCTCACATTCAAAATCAATCTCCTGTGACAACCTTTAATTTAGTCTATAAATTATGCCAGCAGTTCAAATTAAGAAACATTTGTCAGATGTTTATGCATCTTCGCACCTTGCATTCTTTGCTTCATGTTGTGAACATCCCCTCTTGTGTATTTGAGACAAAATTTTGCAGTAAGGAGTGTAACATGGGAACAGACATACATGAGTGAACCAAAATAGCACTTGGTGCTTGAGTCCTAGGGTGACCAGGTATCTCAACAGAAGGAAAAAAGCCTAGTAACTGACCCAAAATTCCCTCGTGAGAAATTGGAAAGGGGCCCTGTTCAGCATAAGTATCTAATATAGGTGGATGGCCTAGAATCAGAAAGAAAAACATCTGAAATGCTAAATCACCTGAAGCAAAAATCTGTGTACACCATTTTTAGAAGGCCAGTGAAACATTCACAGGAAAACACAACCCCCACAGCCACCCCACTTCTCATTTTAAGGTGAGCTTGTCCTGGACAAAAATCAGAAATATCTTCCTTGCCAGCCTTCACAGCTGTACTTAAGGTCAACTGAGTGCTTGGCTGCTCCCAATTCTTATAATTCCACTGCACGTACACAGTAACACTGCAAACTCCATGCAGGGCAAGCTTTATTGTCAGCTCCACAGTCTCACATGGAGAAGACTAAAGTGAGAACAGTAGAGTCCAGATAAAACAATTCATCTCCACTAAAACCTTATAGGACGCATTTATGTAACTTTAGTTCATGCGGGAGGTAGGGAAGAAAGTCACAGAGCTGTTCCCTACCTCAGATTTGCATGGCTGTAGGGGCTCAGTTCTTCATCCATCTTTCCTCATATTTGCACAAGACAGACCATACACTTAACACTACAAAGCACTTTTTTGTACCAGCTGACAAAGCAAGAAGTCTGTATCTGCTACAATTAGTATACAGTTACTGTAGATCATTCCTCATTTATCTACAAATGAGAAAATATTATCTCCAGCATCTCTAAAGATATCTTTGGAACTGTTTTAAATGCCATTGGTATCAGTAGGCCCAAATAAACAGCACGTTCTGCGCCCCCCACTACTTCTCTCAGCCTTAGCTCTCTCACACACCACGAACTTCAGGCCACCCAGCACGTCCCGTACCGCACAATGCCCAGTTTGTGGCATTCGGAGCTGCACCTCACCGCGTACAGCAGCCACCGACCTGATTGTGGCTGCACGATGCTCTTCGGGAGCGGGTAGGACAACTCATCCCCCCATTTGGGGCAGGCCAACTCAAATGGGGACACCCCTTTATATATATATAATAAATTATATGAAGTTTGGCAGGAGCCGAGCCCACAGCTCACCCTTCAATGGCTATTTTAACGGGCACATTTCTGCAGTAGCCTCCTGAGGCGGGACGAGGAACCACCCGCATACCGCCTGCCCTGCCAGGCCTTCTCCTCACGGCGCCTCGAGAGCGCCCAGCACCGCTTGGCTCGCTCAGATGCCCGGCCATGCACGCCTGTGAAAGCATACACACACCTTTCACCCGGCCCCGGGCACAGCGTGGGGCTAGTGGGGCCTGCTCAAGCATGCTCCATCCATCAGGTGTCCCCTCGCCCAGGGCACTGCTCCCACAGGTATTTCTCTGGAAGTATCATTTAAGGAGCTTTGCCTACGTCATACAAGGTCATGGTAGCACAGAGATGAAAAACACCACACTTTGAATACTGCAGCCAGCAGACTGACTTGGATTTCCCAAAGACTTTTTAAGAGAACAGAATCTATACTATAAACCCAAACATTTTCTGAAATAGTTTTGTTTGCACTATGCTCTAAGCAAAATCTTTCCTGCTTTGGTACAGAAAAATGGAAGTCATGCAGTAGGTGCAGGCGTGGGAAGTGGCAGAGCACACAGCTCATCACTCCCTACGAGATGGGATGCAGCACAAGAAAGAAGCCTTGCCATCCTTTGCTGGTGTACAGCAGGGAAGTAAAAAAGAAAATCTGCAGTAATGAAAGTGATGAATTATCAGCAGTTTCTTATGAACCCTTACACTTGAGTTCTGACCCAAGAGGAAATGGTTTAAGGGTTTGGCTACGTCGCTTTTTAAGGATATGTGGTTTTTACCACGTGGCTTCTGGTTCAGGTCCATGTCTGATCATTTAGGGAATAACAGCTGCTCACCACTCACAGAAGAATGACAGCATTATATAAATTCCTAGCCTCCACACCTGAAAAGACCACCACACTTTGTACTAATGACACTCCTGTGGGCCAGCTCTGAGGCTAAGGCACATATAAGGTGAGAAACTTTTGCCAAAACACATTTTGGGGATGATTTGTTTCAACAGCATGGTTTTAATTTGCTTCAAAGAACCATGACTTCTCCAGAGCTAATATTACAGCATCTTTCATAAGTACCGTGTCATTTACAAGGAAAGAATCTATCAAGTGTTGGGGAAGTTTTGGGCATACCAAACAAGCACATAAATGAACAAGACATTTTTCCTTTGCTAGATACTGTATCAAATCATCAATACACATAGGATGCTTCTACGGTGACTTACTTAGAATAAACTAGTTGGGCTTTCTACATATAACTGAGACTATAGCATTGTACAGCCTACAATGCTAGAAACAGACCTGAAGAGTGATCTACGGCATCAACATTGGTGAGCCAGGCACAGCTTAGGAATATATTTGTTTCTCTTTGTCTTAACCCCAGCGTTACTTACAGTAGAACAAGCGAAATGTGTGCTGTATTTAGAGGGGGAGAGAATAAAGGCACTGGTGTGTTTACAATTTATTTCCCTTTGTTTGGGATAAAGTATTTGAGAGAATGTTGCTTTTTGAAGACTGTATTTACATCTGTGACAGTGTATAGACTAGGATTGCAAATATTTATGAAATATTTCCAAAATGTTGTTGTATTCTGAAACAGTACTGTCACGGTTTCCTAAATCCTTATATTTAAGTGTCTGCAGAACAGAAATATGCAATTTTTTCATTGCTGTCTGGCTTTCCACCATCTAGAAAGAACTTTAGGCTTGGAAACCATGGCTTTCTCTGCAGTCTTAAGGACTAGGAAGATTGTACTTAAAGCCTTTTTGTTTTATACACCTGAAATTCACATAAAGCTGAACCTTCTTGCAGCCTTTATAGTAGAGGCATGTTACAGCTCATAAGTTACTGCAGAGCCATTCCACTACCCCTCCACCTCTGTTCCTGTTGCAGGGCCCTAACAGTACAAGAGGAATGTGGAAACAATTTATAAAGTTAAGTGTTCATGTGAAAGAATGTAACAGGAAGGTAACAAAAACCTTAATAACAAGTGTTTGAAAACATTGCTGTCTGATGTTATTTGAATTGTATGGCCTAAGAAAAAAAAAACACCACATTTAGCATTAAGTTTAGCAAAAGCAGTTAAGGTAGAGAAAACAGAGAAAACATTCTGAAGCCAGAGAACATGCAAAGGGTCCCCAGAAAAATCCAGGGAAGATTTGCAAACATTTTGGTGCAGGATAAAGTCAAGAGGATTCAATCAAAACTTAGTCAAATTTTTCCTACCAATCTTCCTCCTCTGCTCCTTGTACTTATTTTATTTTTTCTTAACTCTTGAATGTAGGCTCTAGCTTGGGGTAAAACCTGAAGCTGCCTGACCTGAAATGTGGCTGCTTGTGGAGCTGTACTAAAGGGGGCCTCTGCTGCCATGGAAACTGCTGCACTCCCCTCAGGGAAATAGCAGCGAGAGATTTTTAAACTCTTGTGCTTACTGCTTGATAAAACACCAGAAATACTGCGGGCAGGATCAAAGGTGTGCACGTAGTTGCACATCCACACCTTTTGCATACCCGTATCTGCAAGAAGGGGGAATTAGCAGAGGAAGAACAAGACAGAGTGCAAGGGAGAGCAATTTTAACACTTGTACTAGGATGACCCCACCACAGTACACCAACGAATCAAAACCAAGAGACAGGTTACTTCAGTGCATTAAAGGAAGCAAGGAAAAACACCAGCAGTCTAAGGATACGGGCCAACAAGTGCGTGGGCCAGAAAGCAAGCAACCTGCTCAGGCGTAGGTGTGGTGCCCCAGAATAGAACTGAGCCTGTAGCCATGGGGAAGACTGCGCTGCTTCTGCCTGCTTGCTAGCTGCTCCATGAATCACAACAGCCAGTTCTTAAAATATCCAGTGGGTCAAGTCCACAGCTGTTTTAGAAAGGGGAGAAAGAGATATTTAATCAAAACTAGGGTCTGAATTTGTATTTATAAGCACAGCTGACAAATGCAGGTTATTAATTTGTTTGTATTTCTTCCTTTTCTGACAAACCATGCTGTACTCAAGGCTAGCATTTCTCTAGAGAGTACATTGTACAAGTTTCTTCAGGATACTACTTGAAAATAATATCAACAGCAAGGACAAATTCGCAGAAACTGAGAGATCAAAGGTACAAATTAGGTGTGACAATGTTGAGTAAGTTTCAAATACATATATTTTGGTGTCTCATTTCTATTCATTAAACTGAGAAAAGTAGCTTGAAGTTGATGTTAGTTGCAAACTGTATGTGTTATCAGGGAAGATTTTCTTTTTATGTAAAAGATCACTACTAGCTTGCACTAGCACAGAATTCAACCTTTTGTATTTCAAATTTGAGATTTGGAGATCTTGAACATATTTTCCACACTAAATGAGTCTGAAATTTACTTTGTTATTCATATCTGATCTACATTAAATGTCTACGTCTTAAAGAGGCGAATGATCCCCCAAATAAATGAAAGCAAATCTGAAGATTTTCTGATGTGCTACAGATCTGATGTGGATTTTCTTGTTAATTATTTCGGTAAACTTGAAGTATAATTTAATTATTTACAGGCATGCAATCATACGTGCATTTTCATAAAAATTATCAGAATATCTCTTCATTCAAATGAAGTTGACAAATCACATTTGGCTTCTCAAAAAAAGATATGCAGTATCACAGACATTTGTTCAAATGAAGAAGAGTAAAGAAATGAAAAATAAAACCAAGTTAGCCATTTCAGTAACTCAAAATAGGTTTTATGTCATGCTGATCTATAGAAAGCACAGGACAAAAGATAACATCCTGTTAAACTCATGTCTTATATTCCCAAAGCAATAAACGTACCAGAGAGCCCTATGAAGCAGAAAGGTCTATTATTTTTCCTTGTAATATGTCTGCCTCCTGCAGGGTAAAGGTTTGGCTCACAACACAAACCGAGTACAATTTCGGCTAACACCACTCTACCACATAGAACACAAACAAAAATGATTTCTGATACCCCATCTATTAAATGAAAGACCACAAGAAGCTTAACTGAGGAACCTTGGCTGTTAGCATACCAATTCAGGCTTCTTAAGAAAACCTACTTCTCTGACACTTGACATCTGGTTAGTATCCATCATCCATAAGCTGTATTTCAAGCCAATAGCTGTGTTATAGTTGAGCAAGAAATAAAAATATCGTTGCCCCGATCATCAATTTTTTAACTTAAAAAATTGATTAGATGCTAACCTTAGGCATTCCAAAGCAACCCTGTTAGCAGACCATAATTACACATCACACTGACCAAATCAGCAGTATCACTTAAAAATCCATTTCGTTATCCAGCCTGGTAAAAACAAGAGAGCCCTTAGAGTAAAGACCTCAGTTAGACATACAGTCTGAGTTCAAATCAAACCCACACGCATCCACAGTCCAGAAAAGCATTCAAATGCGGCTGCAAATTGTGCAGATGACAAATGCAGTCCTAAGTTCCAAAGACTACACTTTTCTGCTGGTTTGTAATGGGGTTCAGCAAGGGAGGAAGACATACAAACCGTGAAGATTAACTCCCACATTACCATGCTTACTGATCTTCTGAGAGCTGCAGAGAAGATACAATTCACACAGCAAATATGATTAAGTTATAATGCAAGAACTAAAAATAGTGCCAGACCAAAAGACAGTGATTTCCTTCAAGCATGACTGGGATTCATGCTGTTTTCCTCAAAAGTCAAGGCAGATAGCTACAAAAAGATACTCAGAAGATGCAAACTGTACAACTGCTTTAACTGGAACTATTTTAACTATTTAAAAAACAGAGATCTTAAAATGAAAGTATCAGCATTTTTAAAGCTTCGCATTATAGAGAGCAAAGCAAGTCCATGTGAGAATATCTAACACTTCCAGTGTTGCAGTTACTGCAACGCATTTCCCCTTCCCAAGATACCACTGTTTGAATGCTTCAGGAGATAAAGGGTCAGCTCACTTCAGAACATGCACAAGTGACTGTTTCTATCAAAGTACCTTATATAAGTATCCACACATGTGAGCACAGATTAGGCAGTGGGATGTCCAGCTGTTCCTCATGCTGAAGTGCATGTACAATTGCTTTCAGATGCACAAAACATTTGCCTGCCCATTTTTTTTTTAGCAGTGAAAACAAAACCCATCCCACACATTAAAAAAAATCTCAGCCAAACCAATTTTAAGCTGAAATATTTACTTTGGCTATTTTGGCATCTCAGATACATTTTATTACTATTAGCTCAACTGATGAATGTATGCTGGGACTTACAAACTACATTTATTTTAAAGACAACAGCAACATATATTTTAACTCCTATGTAAGTGGATGCCCATTGGCAGAAAGTATGTAACAACTCAGAATTTTATTTTCCATTTTTCTATAGCTTAGTGTTTTGAAACATTCTTAACAAATATTCAGCTAGATCAGCTCCTCCCTGCCCCACCTTTACTAAATTAGGTTGCATAGTGTAGTTTAAGTTGCACACTTTCAAGGAAATAGTTACATCCATCTTTTAACCCACAACCTCAAAAAGCTTTAAAAGCAACTGTGATATAAAATAGCAGGTATTTTAGCATATGAGGTAAACCAACAGAAATTTACTGTAATAATCAATACTCCATTTGAGAGCACAGCTGTTCAAAAAAGCACCAAGTGGACCATGGTAGCCAACAAACTGCTTCAATTTTACGTGTGGAAGTTTAAGCTTGGGCTTTGCCAGAATTTAATTGCAAAAAAAAATAAATTACAGCATCCTGAATTATCAACACAGCTAAAATAAGGAGGATGCAAGAGATTAACATAAGGATACATTATAAGTATTGCATTCTTTATTCCACAAGAGCTATTTGTTGTTTCCAGCACACCAGAACCTGTTCTTGAGGTGAACCCAGCACAGTATGTTTACAAAGAATGTAGTTTTACAAAGAATGTAGTGGTTGTGTAGCAGTGTACAAGGTAGGTGTATAAATAATATCCCCTGTAATTAATAATTAAAATCACCTTTTCAATTGATTAGTTACCATAAATTAAAATTTCTCCATGTGTTATTTATTGTTTCTGTAAAAAAAAAAAAAAGTGCTGCAGTCATGCCTATAGCTAAGTCCATTCCTTCAATCTATAAACTGTCGTTATGAATATATTCAGTGTGAATAAACACATTTAATATCAAAGCTCCAACCTATTAAAAAAAGCTATCAAAGCATGAACACGTTTTGGTTCAATGTTTTTGTTTCAAAAAATAAAGCAAAGTTTTTAATATTTATTCAATTACAATCTAATTCACATTCTTTGTGATTCAATGTTTCATGTGCTGTAATACTTGTATTTTTATTAAATAAATCTGCTTCTTGAACTATTTGCTTTAAAAAAAAAAAACTGTTTTATTTGCAAAAGAGATAAATCAAGTAGGAGATTTTTTTATTTTTTATTTTCCCAGAAATAAAACCTTAAAAGATAAAGCCAGACGTGAAATCCTGACCTATCACCCTCTCAGCCACCACTTAGAAAACCAAAACAGCAGATTTAGTAAGTGTTCATCATATAGGTAATAGGCTTGGACTTTCTCCCTGAGCTTCTAAGCTTCCATTTGTTTTGGACATCTTCCTGCTGTCTCATTAAGATCTGCCCTTTAGAAGTACTTTTTTTTTTTTTTTAGGTACTTAAGAAAAAAAAAGAAAAAAGAATCAGATTTCAAGAACTATAAGAAAAGCAAAGTTCTACTCAATGCAACAGTGACACTTCCAGTGAAGGCAGTGAAATAAGCTTGATCTGTTTTCACAAAACTTAAAGATCTATGACTACATAAAAATAACATCTAATTAAAAAAAAAAAAAAGGAAATCATTTTTGGAAGTTGATAGGCCCATACTATTTTTGAAGTACTCCTTATAAATAAGTATTGTTAACTACTAACAAGCATTTTGTCTTGTGCCATCAAGTCTCAATTTCAGCCATTAGGCTTCACGTTTTGTAGGCTGATGAAACGTGCATCAGGAGGCAATCTGAAAAAAAGGTGTTTTGGAATAACATGCCCAGAAAACACTAAGACAGTTCAGTAAGTGGTAAGAGTTAAATAAAAATCAGCTCATATTTTATTAAGTATGTAATTAAGTATACTCCATTGAACAAAAATCTTTGATAGCTCAGGCAATGCTACTATTGCTGTGTCGCAAAAGAGGAGTATAACAGCAGGGTAAGAGTAACAACAATTTCTTAACACACGCGTTTTGATAATTGTTAAGTACCTGGTAAGAACAGAATTACTGGCAAAGTACAGATATGTTCCAAAACTCAAATCTTTCTATTTTTCATCTTTCCCTTAAGCTTCAGGCGCTGTCAAGAAGTATTAAACATCTCATTTGTTTTCTGTAATCTATGCCATTTCTTTCCCTTCCCCCTTTTTGATTTTATTCTGCCTGACCACTGAACAGGCTGATCTGTTTCCTATCACTTTCATACTGTAGACTGCTACAAGGGACTACTTAGGACTTGTATCCCAATTTAAGAATTACAAAATGCTTGAAAACCCCAGAGATTTCATTAAGAGCCAACTTTTATTGAAATTTATGTACAAATTTAATTAATATTATGCTTGACTTAACCTATGTTTCAGAACCAATTGCCACTGGTTCATTAATGCAAGAAAGGGTGAGTACTGAAAGTTGATGGGCTAGTCATGACTCATCATTTTGAAACAAGTTTTCTCCATTCCAAAGCTTGAAGCAATCTACGGGGCCTTCCAACAGCATTAACGAAGTGAGATCATTCGTTGGTGTACTCACCGATGCCCAGCTGCATTATGTATTTCCTGACTTAGAGAATTTTCTGTGATGGTCACAGTATGATGGCGATTGCCTTTGTGCAACTTTTAACCCTTCCCTTATTACCTATGTAATTCCT